ACTTAGGAGGTATCATTTTTGTTGAATAATGCCTGGAGCACATTGCAACACCTGAATTACGAACAGGTTGCGATGGAAAATAAAATTAAGCTAACCTAAAAAAAATAATGCATCAATAAAACAAAGCAAAAATTCCATACCGAGGCAGGTGATACCCACGAACCGTGTATCCTGAATACTCACGCAGATGGGGAACGGAGAGCCAGAAACGAGCGGGATCCAGAAACGGTCAGGACAGGACGGACAGGACGTCCGGCCCCGCGCTCCCTAATGGCTTCCTGTCGCAGTGTCACCCGTGCCGGGCCTGGCCAACCGTGGCTTATCCTCCCCCCCTTTACTCCAGGTGGGGATCTCTCTTTTTTTGATTGCCTACTTTTTATACATTACCTATTATTCATTGCGGGGGTGGCGTAAACGGTCGGAAACATAGAGCGTAATAGGTGGTTATTTTGTGACCTCCAAATTGTCTGGATGTCTGCTTGTATAGCCAGTTGTTTGCGGAAATCACTTTTTTGTTCTTGGCGAACATTTTTTTTTTTCTTCTTTCTTTTCGAAGGGGATAAAAGGGGGATTTGCGGTCTTTACGTAAGGATGGTAGAAGGTGAGAGGTAACATAGAAAGGTAGTCTTGCCATGTTTGTGTGTTTTTAACCCTCTTTGTTTTCTTCAATCGCCGAAGTGCGCTTTGCTTTCCGGTTGCCGTCTTCAGTATTGTTTTCTTTTCAGCGACTAATATATCATTCTTGCTTGTTGTCACGTTCATTTCTTACCGGTTATGCTCCAACTATTTTGGGCCTGTGCAATGCTCTTTTAGTAAGGTAGTTAGTTCCAATTCTCGAGTTAAAGGGTCTTAATCTCGCGAGGTATTCCAATTGCTAAAACGTTGGCTATTCAATTAGCAAAATACCCCCTTTTAGAAGCGAATCAAAAGGCATAAAATTAATTTAGTTTACGAAAAAACAAACAAAAAAAAAAAAAAAAAAGATTTCATGAGGATGTATTATTTATAAGCATATACACCATTAGTGCAACTAACACTTTATATCATAAAATAATTGCGATTACAGAAATATCATGACTTTGTAGTCCTCTGCCATTCACTTAGCAGAAATTTCATTTTATATAGTCTTTTACACTAGGACTAATTGAATTCATTTCGTCGTGGACAAGGGTAAAGAAAAAAAAGTTTTTCATTAGTAGTTAATTAGTAACTGACGTAGTTATTAACTGACGTTTCTAACGCTTTGTATCGAAATTACAGGTACGTGATTTTGTGGTTTATGAGTTTCGCCTAGTAGTAATTTATGTTTTTGATCTTGTAGACTTTATATTTATTTTAACTAACATTAAGTTTAAACTATCTTTCCTGTCAAGCCTTACTTTCCCCTGGAACTGCCAATGCCAGAGTATGTAAATTTTAGTAGAACGCGCAAGGATTCAAATTATCAGCGGAAGTATTCTGAGTTAAATAGAAAGGAAACGAGTTCGAGGTGTGCTGTTCGTACTTCACGAGCGCGGAGGTAGTTAGACAGAAATTGAAGAAGCCCGCGTTTCGGCCTGTGTGCTTGCCTCGGAGAATTGTTAATCGTTCAACGTGATATTCAAAGTTTGCTGAATTAGCAGCGGTATTGTAAAACGCGGTGAGGTTAGTTACTTTTAGAGAGCCTCGTAGTTAGAGTCTTGTTATTATTTCTTTTCAGGTTCTTATTTTTATTTTACCGCCGGGTCGGCGTAGTTTGTGAGCGTCAAGAGCACGCAATTGTAACTTCTTAAGTTGAATAAAAAGGGACTTAAACCCTTAGCAAGACTCTGTCTATTTTCCAGCTTCAACAATCACCTCTTGGTTGCGTGCAAGTTGGAGGCGCGCAACTCTACAATCTGCTGTATGCAGGGCTGGTACCAGATCTGGTGTAATTTGTGCGGCCATGCTACAGAATTTACAAAATTTAGAAAAACATCGAGCAACGAAATTCAGAGATGGTACAATTTACGGAGTCACCTGACAGCAGGATTCGCAGAGATTACATCGAGCAATAAACTCCGGCCTTGGCTACACAGATACGGATTTAATTCTTAGTTAATTCTTCGGCATTTCGATTTTGACAAGGGTAAAGGCCAGAAGCTTTAAGTAATGGTACGATTAAGTTTTAAGGTAATCAGAAAATGATGCTATTTTACACACACAGACACATATATATGCATGATGTATATATCCTTTACATAAAGGAAAAATTTCAGGGTGAAAAAAGCTTTATTTTCTTCTCCGATTATTCTTGAAAACATTTAAATTAAATTAAAAAATTTGGCGAATCAAAAATAATTCTTAACAGGACTAAGTAATTTCAATTCAGATGATACGAAACCTTTAGAAAGTTAGCTTAAACGGCAGAATCAAGCTCGATTTGCCGTTTAAGCTACTTTTCGTAAGTAATTGCAATGCTATTTTAGTGATGCTAAATAAAAAATAAATGGTAACTTTGGTATATTAGCATATACCAATGTTTCAAATCTCTTCAGCCTCGTGGCCTACAGGTGTATAGTTACTTTGAAAAAAAAAAGAAAGGCGGAGGAATTCTCAGAAAAAAATCAATGCAATAATGACATAATAATAAACAAATACATATATAATTAAAAAAGTACAGTTGGTGATTATGATTTAATGGTTATTATTCTGATATGCAAAGCACGCAAGGACTATCTTCATAAAAGGAGAGATGTCTCCGTGGAGTACTTTCTAAAGCGAAAATTGATTTGTATTCGCATGTTGTTTATTACACATGAAAACCACAAAAACCAACCATGCACCCAGCCCATTCACCTGCGACTGCTCAGGTCAAAGTTTGAGTATTCAGCAGTCTTAACTACTTTGTCACTAGCGGAGCAATTAGTTATAAATGCATATACGCTGGTTTCCAAAATTTAATGAAAAATAAAAAAAATAAGCGGTAAACTCATTCAAAAATAAGCAGATCCGTATAAATTTGAATATGCTATCAAATAAGAATTGTTGGATATAACTGCAGTATGAAAATTAATGGCTCTGCAATCGAAATACGTCATCTACTGTATGCTTCTGATCTAACCTGTAACTTTCGCTGTACTGGTAAAAAATCTGGGATAGTCAATTTGCAACAATGCCTTCCAGGCATCATTTGCCTGAACAACTGCGATGGACAGCTATTGGGAGACTATAGGCAGGGCAAAGTCAGACAGAAGTGGCCAAATGGCTAAACACGAGTCCTTCTGTGGTTCATAGAATTTGGTAACAATTCTAACCACAAATTCGGCTCCAGGAGGTTCACCCAAGGACGGTCAACCGCTACGGCGAGCGCTGATGACGGATATTTGTTGGCATGCGCACGAAGGAATAGAATCTCGACCCCGACTCAACTCAGATCCTCTCAAGCTGCAGCCGCTAGAAGGTTGGTGTCAACGTCAACCGTGTGTAGAAGTCTTCACGAAAGAGTTTCGTACGCGAGGTGACCAATCATTTGCGTGACACTGTTGTCACGTAATAGAAAGTAACGTTTGAGGTCTGCACGTCCACTGGACAGCTGCTCAACGGAGGGTTGTTTTCTTTGCGGATAAGTCCAAGTTCAACCTCCAAAAGCAATAGGAGGTGATATTAGATTTGCAGATATCCGTAAAAGAGATGCATACGGAGGAGACAGTGTGTGTGTGTGTAGGAGGTGGTATTTTTTGGGGTGATTCCTTTGGGTGGACGCACAGACCTCCATGTCTTTCCACGTGGAACCATGAATGCTCAAGCCTATAAAGATGATATCCTTGATGCTTGAGTGCGCCCTTATACCGGAGCAATAGGTGACGATTTGCTGTTACCGAACGGCAAAGCTAGACTGCATAGGGCTCGCATCGTGGGACAAATTATCTTCAGTAGCAACGAATTTAGCGCATGGAGTGGCCAGCTCGAGTGGCGTAAAATAAATCCAAGTTAAATAAGTCGTTGGATAGCCAAAGGCTATACAGAATGAATAACGCACAAGTTGGCTGAAGCTTAATACCGGCGTGACAAACCTAACTCAAAGCCGCAGACAGCTATGGAAGAGAGAGTCAACTAGTAACGTGGCCTTCAGCAGGCGGAACACGCTGCGATTTAACAGCCTTAAAACTGCCTTCAGATACTATCTCTTTCTACCTCATTTGAATATGCAGGAACTAAAATTTGCATTCTGGCAGAAAAGCGGAAAGGGAGAATGACAGTAAAGGTTTTGAATATAAACTAACTGATTAGTAAAAATAAATAAATCCTTAAACATTCAGTAGCGAAATGAAATGATTAATATGACTCTGTTTTGGTGCATAAAATCATGTTCATCACTAAGCTTAAAAAAAATGACTTTGTCAAATGATAGACGCTAGCTTTGAAACGAAATTGCATAAGCATGTGCTCAATGAGAGCTAAAAACAACTTTGTTACAAAAATATTCTTCCCTGGAAAATCTCCCTTTAAAAACAACTGAAATGATCAAATTCCTTCATTACACGACTGGACCGCAACTGGGTAGTATTCACAAATGTACACTCGCCGAACCACGAATCTTTCAATTGTTAGCTAGACATGTTAATCACTTACATCTCCAGAACAAGCAAGGGGAAGGGCAATGCTTCCTTATAATTCCATTACTTATTTGCTTATTTTCCGTTCGATCAAATATACTGTTTGTAAAGTCCACTGAAAAATTCCTTCGTGTTAGATATTTAATTTAAGTGCTAATAAGTTACAGTACATTAATACATTTCTCTTCAGCACTAAAAATGATTTTGATCATAAGGTCTTTTAACATTGATGCATAAAATACCTGACAATACCTTAGGCTTTTAAATTTTGCTAACTTTTTCATGAGTTCAAAAGAATTTTTTTTAATCAAATTCAAAATAGTAAAATATAGCTATTGAAATACAGCTGTAACATTTAAACAACAACATATTTTACGCCCTTACTAAAAGGCGGAAATATAAACCTAAATGAAATTTGCTTACCATTTGGATAAAGGAATAAGGCAAATGTCGTCCGCAGTTACAACTCAGTTCGGCAGACAAGGTTGCAGCAAGATTACTTCTTCCTTCGGACAATGCAAATATTCATACTCTTTGCTTTTGTGAAGAAAATAAGTTCTTGCTTGTAGCTAAAGCAATTTATATCCGGAACAGGATACAACCTGCAATAAATGTAGCATTAAATTAAATACCTATCATAAAAACTTTGTGGAAAAATGATATTGGTACATGACCAGTACCAAAACCAAAATCTAAAAAGTACCGAGATTGTGATAAAAATACATATATATTTTCTTCTAGGCAGCATTAAAGCAATTTCGATGAAATATTGAAATGAACTCTTAACCAAGACGGTCAAATTTCTCGCCAAATATTTTTGGTGAGAAACTCCACGCTGCCATATTGCTATCTAAATTTTTTGTCTACATTTCGAACTTTAAGCCTAAAATGTCTCCAAAAACACGGTTTTCGCGAATGCAAAAACCACGTTTTGAACACACAATTTAAGCTAAAAATCCGAAACAAAAAACAAAAGATTTAGATAGCAAAACCGTGAAGTTTCTAACCAAAATTATTTGACAAGAGCCCATGTACACAGCGATATGTTTTAACTTAAAAAAACATCTACGAATGGCACCATCTAGGCAACGAATGAATTTACGGACTACGCACACCTCGCTTTAATAAATCAACATAACAACAATAAATTTCAAAGAATACCATGTACACAGCGTTCTGTTTCAACTTTAAAAAACATCTACGAATTGCGCAATTTACACGGTACGCACTAATCAACAAAATAACTGAAATAAATTTCAAACAATTCAAAAAAAAAACAACAATAACGACAGAAATTCATACTAAAAAAACAATGAACATAACATTCTACAAAATAAGAACAAGAATAAAATAAAATGCACTTAGCATTAATGCTTTTTCGAACAACAGAAATACCAATTTCATACCGCCTTTAACATACCGCCACGTAATCAATATCGTATTTATATGACAGCCAGACACACTATCCAGAAAATTCCTACTATGGTTCACAAATAAATAAAATAACAAATAATCACAAATCCCTACTTCTATGACGCACAGCCACTAAAAATAATCTCTCATACCTTCTTTCCACACCTCCAAATGCCCATTGCCCCTCAACAGGATGGCCACGACGATATTTCCTTACGCCGAACTTCAATTCAACAACTTTCACCATTAAATCTTTGCTCACTAACTTCTCAGACACAAAGCATGACGGGAACCAACGAACTCCAGCGAAAGATTTTTCAACGTCAACAGGGTTGCCATACAACACGCAATCGCGCCAAAAACCACCGCAGAACACATATCGCCACATTTGGTGAAATTAGGGCGTTTATCAGAGTTGTACCACCAGTTCTTGTAACGTTACAAAATATGTTTTAGGGGTTTTAGCATAAAGTTCGAAGTTTTCAACCTTATGCCAATTTTGTATAAGAGTCCACAAATCAGAGTGAACGTGCGAAACCTATTGAGCGGGTAAACAAAACGGGAAAGCTGTAGACACATCCAATGTATGAGCAAATTTAACTTCTCTAGTTGGCTACGGCTTAGACCGTGTCTTGCAGGTGTGAACGGAGGTCCCGCATTTTATGCCGTATGTCATTTATACCATCTATGACATGTATACCACCGTTTCAAGAAGCCTTAGTCTAAATTTAGTATACCATTCAGACCGTCATATACATGATCATAAATGACACATTATAAAGGAAATCTGCCAAGTTTCATGTTAATGTTAAATTACACAGCATTTAGTGAATTTTTTGTTAATAGTTATGCACAAATAAGACTGAAAACTACCTTTCTAATAAAATTTAAGGAATGAAGAAATGAATATGTTTCAGTTCAATACATCTTTTGTTTGTGTCTTACTATCCATGCCTAGTTCTGCTTCATTTCCCGGTAGCAATGTTGTTAAAACCACAATATTCTCAAGCGCCATTATGCACAGATAAGCAAATGTATCTAGTGTTTCTTAGGCTGCAACTTCCAACTTTTTACATGTTAAAAATTTAGCTTTTTAAAGGCCTATTAATAGCTTTTTAAAGGCCTATTAATACCTTTTTAAAGCCTATTAATAATATAAAGCCTATTAATACCTTTAAAGCTCGAATTTTGAAATTTTAGGGTCCCCTTTAAGATTTTTATTCAGAGACTTAAATTAGAAATCGGCAGATTGTCCAAGAAAAAAAATTCACCAGAAAATTTAAAAGAGAGATTTTGGTTTGTTTTGAGTTGGTTTATTTATTTATGGCAGAACACTCGCGGGCTATCTGCCTAATGGGAGGGATACCTTCGTGCAGGATTTTTAAGGGAAACCGGCTCATATACACATTACACACTGAAAACCACGAAAACGAACATGCAGCCAGCCCGTTCGAGGGGAATCGATCCTGAACGGAACGATCACCGTTCAGCGATGGCCACTGATGGGCCTTAACGAAATAACCAGAACTTAGATTTTTTAACAGTTTCTCAGCTTAGAAAGTCATAAAATTGAGAGGAATGCGAATAAATTCTGTTACGTTACTAAGGTGTGGCATTCAATTTTTCTTCAGGTTTTTAAAGAATAAAAATAAGAACAAAGAAAAATAAATTTTACTTACCATCTTCAAAGACTGCAAGACACAGGCAAATGTTGAACTATTCTCAGCTTCAAGAAGAATAATTGCTTTAGCGAAATTTAGTTTTCTTTGTTCAGATAGAAGAAAAAGATGACGAAAAACTGCAATAAGAATTAATAATTGAAAAGTTAGTAACATCTTTTATATTCATTACATGACTAATGATTTAAACTTGAGGATTCAGGGTGGAGAGAAAAAATTTTTGTACGCGTAGGATGTTCTTTGATAGCAAACATGAAATAATTATCCGTGTAATTGTGATAAGGTGCGAGACAGAAACTGAGACTTCTTTTTTGCACGTTTCAAGAAGCAACATGAACGTCACTTAAAAGCAAAGCAGAATAAATTCTTGCCAAATAAATTAATAAATAAATTAAAGTACAAGGAGCCAAAAAGAATTTTTTTGAAATTTTTCAGATTTTATATTACGCCTAAAGGTTTTTTTTTTTTTTTTTTTTTTTTTTCAAGTTTGTGTGTTACCTTTATTTATCAAATATGATGTTCTTTGCACTTAAACCACATAAAATCCAACTCAACAGCAATGTGATAATATATTTAAAAACAGCATATTTTTAGAATTTTCGATACACGGTCTCGCTCGCTGGAGATATAATTATTTTTTTCCCGTACAGTGTTGTCAATGCTGGCTTTGAAATCGTTAAGTTTCTTAATCAAACTTCTTTAAAGTTTTACAAAATATGAAATAGATAATAAAACAAATTCCAAATTAGGCTTCCAAATGCCCATACTCGAGTGGCAAAATTTGATGGCTCTAGATATCGTTATTTAATCACAATACGAGAAACATACGTACGTTTATACAGATTCTTCATTATTTAATTTCTCTAAATACACTGTTTTGCAAAAAAAAAAAAAAAAAAAAAAAAAAAATCGAAGCATTAAGAAGGAGGTTTGCAATCGGATTTCGTCCCGTATGCAATGTTCGATCAAGATGCAAGTATGCATCTTCATCGAACATGCAAATGGGAATTGCGATCATAGCGCGCATTTGTGCGCAATTCGCAAAGTATAAAATCTGTAACAGAGGCGGAAAATTCATCTTTTTTTTTTTTTTTTTTTTTGTTGCTGCCATTGTAATTTCGTAAAGAAAAAACTAAAGATGCCATTACGACGATATCGAAGACCTTACAGACAACTAAACGACTTCGTACGTGGTCGCGTTGTAGCGTTGCGTGAAGCTGGGTGGTCATACCGAGCAACAGGCCGCCACCTGCAGGGTACAGACACTGCTGTGCAAAGCTGTTGGCAGCAATGGTTGCTACAAGGAAACTGCCAACGAAATGAAGGCTCTGGAAGGACAAGGAGCACAAATGCGAGGCAAGATAGGATGATTGTTCCCCAGGCCCGAACCGTCCCAACGGTATCATTGTCGACTATTCAACGCACTACAGCCACGTCTATACCTCGCATGGTACCGTCCACCATCTCCCGGCACTTCCCCTGAGGCGGGATTACGCTTACAGAGGACTTTAAGACGTTTCCCTTTGATTCCACAACATAGGCGGTGTCATGTGGAAGTGGTATTGCAGCCGATCATCATGGCTGCATCAGACTACTGGCATCGTATAGTGTTCAGCGATGAATCCAGCTTCACTCTTGAAGCAGAAGACCACCGAGTTCACGTCTGGAGAAGACGGGGCCAGCGGTCCCAATCAGCCTTTGTTTTACAAAGGCATACAACCATAATCCCTGGTGTGATGGTGTGGGTCGCTATTTCTTATGACAGCAGGTCACCTTTAGTCATCCTCCGTACATCTTGAACAAAGATATGTTGATACCATCCTGCGGCTGGTTGCATTACTCTTCATGGTACGTTATCCTAGAGCCATTTTCCAAGAAGATAATACCAGGCCGCATACCGTTCTAATATCTCTGGACTGTCTCCGTGCAGTTGATGCTCTTCCTTGAACAGCAAGGTGACCAGACCTTTCTCCAATCGAACATGTCTGGGACATTGGTAGGCCGCCAGATTCGGGCACCACCAAATATCGCAGATCTGGAGCGACAACTGATGAATGCCTGCCAGAATGTGTTGCAGGATGATATTAAGAACCTCTACCACTCCTTACCTCGACGAATTCAAGCATGCATTGCCGCCAGGGGCGGTTCGACCAACAACTAATTTGAACACTCAGTGAGTGACTGTGAGCCATGCACAGGTACTATGATCTTGATTTTTTAATCATTTTATTACCTCTGTATGAGCTATACACATATCCAATTTCATCAAAAACAACCACTTCCTTCATGGTGCTTCGATATTGTTTGCAAAAGAGTGTATAATGCTGGGCTTTAACATTTGGTGGCAACAATTTGAAAAGTGATACGCCGTTGATAGCAATTAGGCGCAAAATGCCAGAACGAAATTAACAATCTTCCTGAGCTGATGCCCTTTGGGGTAAAAAAAAAATTAAATTTTTTTATTATTATTATTAAGCAAAATATCTTTGCAAAATTTTAGAAATTTCTTAAATCCGAAAAATTAGGTTTTAGCATTCGTAAACAAAGGGAAATGGTATGGATAGAATAAATAATAAAAGGAAAAAAATTTCTAGAGTTGATCATTATACCCCTAAAAAATTCATTAATGTATTCATAAATGTCTGCCCCCACCCTAACAGATCCACAGACATTCCATGATGTAACAAAACTTTCGCGTTAAAGTTGCAATCCTCTTGCCAGAAGTTAAACACAAGGTCTTTTTTTTTTTATATAAATAAATGTACAATATTGGCTGAAATGTTGTTTATTTTCTCATAAGTTTGATATTGAAATGCTTTGTCACCAGGGGTATCCTTTGTCCTTTGTTTTTATACAGTCTTTCTGTCCAGTCCTGTTTGATCTTGAAGAGATAGAATCTTTTGGGTAATATATTGTATAGAAGAATCTTTGTTTATCATTTTAATTTCACGGAAAACTTAATCATACTTTTCTCCTCGTAACGCAGCAAAAGTATTAAAGAATGAAGCAGACACGAAACAACACAAACAGAAGAACAAGACACGAAAGGTAACACTTTATAGTTTCAAAAGCAAGATAACATTATTTCCATGCTGAGGATTAATGAGAAGTTTGAAGATTCTAACATGTTAACATGGATTAGAGATACGATAAATAGCTTGAATAAAAGCAACAGAAGATCGATGACGGTCAACAGAGATGACAAACTTTGGGTCCATTTTTCATTAGTTTTCCGAGAGCTATTTCAAGAAGGTATGATCGTTAGACAATATTTATGATTTCGCAGAAAATATGCATTCAAGAAAGTAATCACATCTTCTGTAAATTTTGGTGCAACATTTTATTAGCTTTCTTCAAAAAATTGCGTATATACAGTGGATGGACAAAAATATGGAAACACCTTATGAAATGCATGTTTGAAAAGAAAGATTGATTTTAATGAAATATGTAGGTGGCGCTGGCGTTTTTGACTACTGACGCCACCTATACAACTTCGTAAATGTGCTAAACAGTTCAGTTGTTGTCGGAGTACTGTTATGTGAGGTTGTCATTGCATTATGTCAGAGTTAACAAACTTCGAACGTGGGCAAATTGTTGGAGCACGTATGGTAGGTGCTTCCGTAAGCAAGGTAGCCGAGGTGTTTAGTGTTTCAAGAGGTACTGTATCGAAGATTTATTCCGCATATTTGAAAAGCGGAAAACATCATCTGCTAAATCACAGCGCGGACGAAAGTGTGTCCTGAGTGATCGTGACAGACGATCATTAAGGGCAATTGTGACGAAAAATAAGAAGACCACAGCTGCAAAAGTTACTGCTGAAATGAATGTTGTGTTACCGAACCCTGTGAGTACCAAAACAATTAGAAGGGAGCTTCATAAACAGGGAATTGCTGGCCGTGCTGCAATTGAGAAGCCACTCATCAGTGATGCTAATGCCCGTAACAGGAAAAGGTGGTGTTTAAGTCATAAAGCCTGGACTATAGAGCAGTGGAAGCGAGTAATATGGTCTGACGAGTCTTCTTTCACATTGTTTCCCACTTCTGGCCGAGTTTACGTCTGGAGAACGCCATCTCAAGCCTATAATACAGACTGCTTGTTGCCAAGAGTGAAACATGGCGGGGTTCTGTTACGGTTTGGGCAGCCATATCGTGGTTCTCTGCTAGCCCCATGATAAATGTGCCAGGGCACACGACTGCCAAGACTTATGTGAACATTTTGGCCGATCAAGTTCATCCCATGCTACAAACTTTGTTCCCCGATGGTGATGGTGTCTTCCAAGACGACAAAGCCCCTGTTCACACAGCTCACATTGTCCAGGACTGGTTTTCTGAGCACGAGGATGAGTTGTCCCATCTCCCCTGGCCACCACAGTCACCAGACCTGAATATTATCGAACCTTTATAATCTACATTGAAACGGAAAGTGCGTTCTCGTTATCCACCGCAACATCGTTATCTGAACTTGCCACCGTTTTGCAGGAAGAATGGTATAATATTCTCTTGGCAAACATACAGGAACTGTATTTATCCATTTCGAGAAGACTGCAAGCTGTTTTGGATGCCAACGGGTTTCCTACACCATATTAAACAAAGAAACATGTTTTTTTTAAAAGGTGTTTCCATATTTTTGTCCAACCCCTGTATATATGTGTGTATAAAGAGATTCACAACAATACATATATTGTTGCGAATTTTGTGTATATGCATTTAGTGGAATTAATATGTGAAATTATAATACCTCTTGTGTAATATAAGATAAAGTACCTTGAAAAAGCGAAGCTGTACCGGTAAATAAGATTACATGGGCAAATGTATTTAACATTAAACTAAATAGTCGCCAAATTTGGCGACTTTTGAGATTAGTCGCTAAAACCATTGTCAGCTTGGTGATATTTCGCCAAATTACCGAGATACTCATGTACTCAATGTTAAATGCACTTACCCCTGTATTCTTCCTTTTCGGCGCAGCTTCTCTTTAGATTTTTCATTTTACAAAAGAAATACAACAATTTTATTTATAATTCTAATAAAATTACCTATCAAAGTACAAAATTCGTAACAATGTATGTTTCTTAAATTAAGTTATATTTAACATAAAATCCATTCTTTTCCTACCGGCTATTGCTTTCAGAACACTCAACAACATTACATTTTCTCTTGAAAAGGAAGCAAATTCTTTTAGGACAGATTAGACCTTCTCATAAAAATCTGCGCTTTTTCCAAAATAAATTAGTACAGCTAACTGATTTGCTACATTCAGATGTGAGTTACGTAGCCGTTTTTAAACAGTTGGCAATATCCCATATAACATAGCGAAATTTCTGTTATTCCAAACGAGGAAAACCAACGTCGTCATTATTTTGATGGCAAACAGTAGTCCTGACATCCAGAATTGGTCCATGTTTAAATCAATCTGCCTTAAACAGCTGTAATTAACACGCCATCACGGAAATTTCCAAGTCTCCTTCAGACTGCTCGGTTGTTTTGTTTTATTTTTTCCATGTCTTTTTTCTCATCCTTGAGCAAGAGTTGAACTTACGACTCCAACAGTTGCAAATGAATCTTCTGCTGTCTAATTAAATTGTCTAGTCGATTGTGATGATTGTTTTTACTTGAATGTTTGAGTTGTCAGCAAGTTATTGCGTCGTGCATTTTGATTCGATTCCTTTTATTATTATTTCCATTTTTATTTATTTTTTTTTACTCCTTTAGGAACTGTAAAGAAGAAGCAGACATTGCTTCAGTTTTCAAGTTTATTTGGTCTCGTGCCCGTGACAGAATGAATTTTGACAAAAGTAATTACAAAGTTCTTTAAGAGTAAATATTGCATTATTGACATCAAAAATTTCTTAATTGAAAACATTTTAAGAAAATATATAGCTTATTACTTATCTTTAAGAAACTTTGAAAATTATGCTGTTTACACTGCGTAGACTGTTTTGCTTTTTATAGCAGAAAAAATGGAAAATCAATAATGCCTTCAATAATCCCCCCCTTCAACAATAAATCAATAATCCCCTCACACCACAAGAACATATATGGAGTAATGCTGTTAACTTCTAACGATTTACTGCTTTTGTAATGCTGTTAATTTCTAACCATTTGTGTTTTTGCAATGCTGTTAATTCCTAACAATTTACTATTTTTATAATACTGTTAACTCCTAACAATTTACCATTTTTAGAATGGTTTTAATTCGTAACAATTTACAGCTTATAATGCTGTTAACTCTTAGCAATTTACTATTTTAAAAATTCTGTTGATTTATAATAATATGCAGATTTTGTAATGCTGTTAATGCCTAACAATTTACAGTTTTATAATTATATTAATTCCTAAAACCTTACAGATTTTATAATGCAGTTAATTCCTAACAATTTACTGTTCTTGTAATTCTGTTGATTCCTAACAATTTACTCTTTTTTAAAATACTGTTAACACCTAACAATTTACTGTTTTCATAATGGTGTTATTTCCCGACAGTTTTCTGTTTTTTAATGCTATTAACTCTTGACAATTTACTGTTTTTATAATTCTGTTAATTCCTAAACATTTCCAGGTTTTAAAATCCTGTTAATTCCTAAAAATTTACTGTTTTCCTTCTGTCGATTCGAACAGTTAAAATCCCGCTACTGAAATTTCATTAAATATATTACAAGTAAATAAACACTGACATATAGTGAGTGTATTTTCTCGCATATTCCTCGTATTTTATCAATTTTGCTCCTTGAAAATGGAAAGGAGCAAATAACGCGACGTAAACGATTTCTCAGAGAAAAAGTTAAAAAGCATTTACGACACTTTATTTAGATATACTAATATTAATGTTTTCCGTATTTCATAGAAGTTAATTACAATTATTAATTTTAATAACATTCTTTTTAGTATTTCTCTTTCAATGAGTGTTTCATTATCCAATTCATTAGTATTCGATTAAATGCATGAAATTATTTGACGGATCTAATTTACTGAGACCCGGCTCCTGTCCAGTTTAAACCACGTTGTTAAAGACCTTATAAGGTATTTCTCCCGTCTTCTTGGCATACCTTCGTAGTGTAGTGGTCAGTACGCTGGGTGCGTATATCTCACCTGCTTAAAAAAATACCTAATGTCTCTACAACCTTGGAAAAATGAGTTTCAAAACCAATTAAATCATTTGCACAAAGCTGGTGCGATATGTTTCCATACTGCCGCCATGGTCAATTCATAACATGATTCACTTATATTTTCAAAATTTACTCAATTAAAATTTAGTTTGCAGTGAAATTTTCAAACCAGACTATAGTGAATCCAGACTGATAGAAGTCGATTTTTGCGAGATATTACTGTATCGAAGTTATCCACACAACAACTGATATTTCACTGAATAATTTTCAAATAATGTCTTTGAATCTAATAAAATCAAATGATTATTACAATGTCACGTGTTTATTGTAATTTGGGCCACATTAAACAAAATAAAAATATGCATTTGTCTATTTTTAAGGGTAAAAAATGGCCTTGACAATTTCGGATAGTTTGTAAGATAGTTTCAAACCTTCTTAAAGCCCAAAAAATCTCGGCTATTAGTCTGGAAACAGGATTTGGCGACGTATCTCTTTAAATGCCTGAATAACTTTTCAAATTGCTGCCACAAAATATTATCACCCTGTCTAATTGTTAAAGAAATTAAATAATGAAGAATCTGCCTGAATATATGCACGTATCTCGCACTTTGAAAAAAAAATGCAAACATGGGCAGCTGGAAGCCTGAATTTTGAATTTTATATTTCCTGTTTTGTAAAACTTTAATGAAGTTTTAAAAACTCAGAGATCTGAAAGCGAGCGGTGGCAACACTGTACGGATTAAACAATTTTTATCTCCAGTGCGCAAGATTGTATATCGAAAATTCTAAAGATATGCTATTTTTAAACAGTTTGTGATTTTGCTATTTAACTGAATTTTATGTGTTTTAAGTGCGAAGAACGTGATATTTAATTAATAAAGGTAACACACAAAACGTTAATAATAAAAATACAAATATAAAGTTCTGTAAGCCATCTTGCTAAAAAAAAACTGTATATTGATATGATAAACTAAGAAAAGACTGAAAAAAGTAGAAAAACGTATGCCAACATTTAACAACTCATTCAGAATTCTAAATACATGCTGCTTTAAATTTTTTTAAACTTTGCTGTTGAACCGTATACGGCGTAAGTGCGAAGAAAATGATGCTAATAATAAAGCTAAAAAGACAATAAGAAATGAATTAGCAGAAGTGATTGCAACAGCAGACTAGTAGAATGCGAGCTCAGCGAAATCGTAGAAAACCTTAACAAATCCTTTTGGGCTACCGTTAGAATACTTCAATTTTGTTTGTTTATTTTTTAATACATTATACCTGAAACTCAACTGAAATTCAAAATTCTATTAAACATATTTATAAAGTACAGCATATTATAACATGAAATTTACAGTAGAGAAAATGATATCAAAATACAATGAATGTTTTCCAGAAATAAAGACAAATAACTTTAAAATCTTGACTTTTAATATAAAATTTCTCAGTTTAATAGCATTCATATTCAAACTAGCAAAATTAGCAATATCTTTATTCTATGTATATTCAAAAATAAGAAAATATGCCTGGAGAAAATTTCGGAAGCATCGTGTAATTATTGTTGAAACGAAATAGTTAACAGCAACTAGATTTTCATTTTAGTTAATTGTATAATTTATTACCTAAAACCAAATTTCAGCTTAACATACCTTAATGTATTATTGTATGCCTTATAAAAAATTATACCCCATTTTGATTTACCTTCCTGTCTTGAAATACGTCAGATTTTCAACAGATGTGAAAATTCCAAACCGGATATTATTGGCCAGTTGTTTAATCGTGATACCCCCTATATGCCTATGCGCCTTCGTTGGCAAGAGCCTTGAGGACCCTATAGGTGACAGCCCGACTTTAGCTCAGTTCCTCCCCCAATTTTGAAAGAGCACCTCAGGGGGACGGGTCCGAGGGTCTCTCATCTCCTTTTACCACTAACCTCTTGAGAAGACTTTCGGTTCGTTCGATGCGTATTTTAAGGGCAGACATGCCACACAGACTCTATACATTTATAAACATCCACGCCTTCTCTGGGATTCGAACTCGGCCCTTCGTTAATGCAGTCAAAGTCTCTAACAACTATCCAGGTTGCGCGGCCTCTTTAAAGGTGTCTTTAAACGCACCAACAGCTTTTCTGTAAGAATGCTTTGCGAAGTAATGTTCAATCATAAAAATTTGTTCTGCTCATCTCCATCCTGCTCCAAACAGACGATTTTTAAAACTAATAGCATAACCCGAAACCCAAATTTTAATTGTAAATAGTATAGGAGGGCCATTCATTTAAAAAAATTTTCCATAAATATTCCATCTATATTTTCAAAAATTTTGAAAGCTTAATATGCGGTATTTTTGGATCCCTCTGTATGTGTATATCTATACAGACGAAGAAGACTTCAAGCTTAAAAATGCGTACGTGTGTGTGTGTGATTATGGCAAAGCCTCGAGGGCTATCTGCCTAAGAGGAGGGATGCCTTCGTGGAGGACTTCCTAAGGCAAACTGGCTCGTATACACGTTACACATGGGGAAAACCACGAAAACGCCCATGAAGCCAGGCCGTTCACGGGATTCGAACCTCGGACCGAACTACCAGTGTTCAGCGACTTTACCGCTCGGTCGCTGGTGGGCCATCCTAAAAATGCGATAAGACATTAAAAATACCTCTAAAGATAAGGCTCTTTTTTATTTTTTTATTTTTTTTTTTTCAAGTATTAGTATTCAAGTATTTTCAAGTTCTAGGTATTAAAACATGCATACTTTTTGATAGACTTATGAATGATCTGATACCACTTTTTTAATATTTGAAATAAGTTGTGCAATCGGAGATTTTCTTAAAATTAGCACAATTAAAATAACAGTAAACATTGAATCACTCAAATTTCATTAAGGAAATTTAAATCTTAAAAGAAGAATAAAAATATACTTACCGTGCTTCAAATGTTGCTGCAACCAAAGACGAAACTTCTGCAAGCATATTTGGCTATCTTCTTCCTCTACAGTCCACTTCAAAGCATAGAATATTTTGCATAAAAGCTCGAGACGAGATGTTTGAAGATGCTTTCTTTAATTAGGGAATTCTTATGACGTTGAAAATAATGCTGCCATGAAATTTTAAAACACTAAATTCTTTCCAGTACTTGCCTTTGTTTTAGATGAAAAAATTATTCGAAGGAAAAAATAGAAGTTTTGCACTGTATACCTTGAATTGCAGGAAACTTACTGAGCTTGAGTTCAAAGGCGCATAACTGTTTGGAGATTTGCAGAATTCACACTTTTATCAATGATCAACAGCTGGTTTATTGTAAAGAATTTCTTTCTTCAGTTTGTGCTGATCTTGTTTCTTGCAAAAGATAATTCTGGAACGTTTATTCCTGTACATCATTTTACTCTGTCACAATTATTGTCTTTCAGCGACACCTTTCACATTTATCTGTAATCATGAATGTATGACTGTATGTAACTTTCAAATGAATGTCCAAATGTTTTAATTTCTGTGGTAACTCGAGTTTCTGTTTTGTTAAAAATATAGAATAAATTAAGATATAATGAAAGATTTAATGGTATAATAGCATTTTCTGATATCATTTTTAAATTATAGGAAAATGCTTAATTTTTTTTAATTACAGGAATTTCTGTAACAGGAAAAACGTACGAATATGTAAAGAGTAAAGACATTTCAGACTATGTAAAATAGTTAAATATTTAAACCCAGTTAAGTAGATTGAAATATTACTCTCAGGACAGTCAAGGGGTTATAAATAAATATGTAAATAAAAATATCACAAATTAATGTTAAAAGCTATGTTAAAAATATGCTCAGTCAATTTTAAATTTAAATGATTTTTTTTTTAAGTAGGACAATTATAAAGTAAGTGTTGATGATGATGATGATGATGATGATGATATACGATAGGTATTTCTTAGAAAAAGCAATCTTGAAGTTTGAATATTATGTATATGTTGTTATTAATGTTATGAATAGTTAAAATCTTTTTTTTTTTTTATTACGAATACCAAGAGTTGATATTTATTTGCAGCAGTAATTTCCAAATATCCTTCTACTCTTTTCTCCATTCATGACATTTCTGAAATAACTATGACAACATTCAAAATCTTGTTCTGCATCTAGTTTCCTTTAACCATAGCGTCTGTCATATTTTTACACTGTCGTTGTCATTTCCTAAATTTAATCCAAGTGATTTCTAAATATTTAACATTGAAATGATATCTCCATGCCTAATGTTACTTACAAATTTGAAGATGATAACTACCATGGCAAAAGGAATGTTACAAAACAATTCTATTTCCTGGTTTCAAGTAGTTTGTAAGTTTTTCAAAACTTAAATAATTGTTGATTTAGTCACTCTGTAAGGTGTATGTTAATTTTTTAATTTTAAAACCCTTTCCTTCCAATTCTTGCTTCTCATTTACAACGCCCTACCAAAATGAGTTTTTAGAATCGCATTGAATGCTAATAAGTTAGAAGTAGTATTTAAAGAGGGTTCAACTTATTGATAATCGCCGAATAGTGTAAAATAAGTACCAAGTACGTTAGGTATTTGTGTCTAGCTTTGGATATGTCTGTTTTAGTTAGTATTAGATTAGTCTCTTATTTTCTTATCCTGATTTAAAGGCCCGAGTGGAGGCTTTCCTCTAAGCCCCAGAAGGGGCCATCTGCATTATTTCTTTGAGTGAATAAAAGGGTATTTCAACCTACTCGAGTCGACGTTAGTACTTTAACTCAGGGATAAATCGCTACTTAGTTCACTAGATTCCTAGACATTTTATCATAAACAAAACAGCGAGAAACATTACAACTCATACAGTATTTTACTAAAAATAATACTTCTTCATATATTACATACATATTAGGTAACTTCCCATTGAGTGTTTGAATTATTTTATGTTCTTAAAAATTTAGATTCTCAGAATTTTTAAAGTTTCAGAACTCTGAAAATCGAAATGCCAAATTTAAATTTACTTCCAAATAAATCATCAGTCATACCCAAGCATTCATTATTGAGCTTTTATTTTTAATTTCCATTTCTTTTATTTATAACTTCTAAAATAATCCTTTCCTTTTCCTTTACTTTATTTCTACATTCAAGTTCATTATATTGGAAGATTTTACCTACATCAGTCTCATTTTGTTGTCATATTTTTAATAAATATTTCATTTTCAGACTTTACATTTATTTACAACTGGGCCCCTTAAGATTCATTTCTGCCTCTTTATTATTAATTATATCATTATCCTTCACTTCCACATCTTTATTAATTTACGTCATGTCCTGATTATTAGTTAGTATGGATTTTCCTTCATTTTTTTTATTCTACATTTCTAACCACTCTCAATTCATCTCAATTATAGAAGATTGGTTTGTTTACATGTTATAATTTACGTTTTAATGACTTGGTAATTAGTCATTTTTGTTTTTTCTTGCAAATTTGCAAAATGCAGGAAGAAATAAGTTTAGTAATTTACCTGATTAATTTGCAAATGTTACGAATTTTGTACTGTAATATGGATTGTGTACTAACATTGTATTTCCAAGTACTCATATTTTTTTCCCTCGCAGTAGCTTTTCCCTTTAAATGTTTTTGTACAATAAAATTTCTCACGTGTTTTCCTCTTAAGATGTTCCGACATCAATTTCATTATTAAAATGGTTTTTTACAATACAATTTCCCACATGTTTTATGTTTAAAATACCTAGGGCAGCAGCTTTTGGACAGATACTAAAATGTAAAGTTCGTTAAAGTATTTTTCTGAATAAAATTACGTAACTATGATGTTGGAATTTTTCTATTAACGTTTTAAAATGAGTAACATGTATATGTTTCATCCCATACTCGTCATCTCATTAATTCTATCATAATGATAAAAGAATTAGGTTTATCCCGATTTTAAAATATGAACCCTGACTTACAGGAAATGATGTCATATCTATTAACTTCCTTTTCATTTGATAAAGTATGCATCTTTTGGGGAAAAATCCTGTGGATCGTCTGTAATCTTGTGCACCTTTTGTGAATTGGTCCAGATTCTCAAAAAAAAAAAAAAAAAAAAAAAGGGGGGGGGGGAAAAAAAAGGGGGGGAGAAAATTAATTTAAAATACGAAAGAGAAATTAATTTTAAAATAAACTTGCAACTGAGATCATTTCGTATCACTTCACATCTAGCATTAACAAAATTAATTAGCTTTAAAAGGATTATTACTCCTTAGGCTCAAAATTATTAAAGTTCGAAAATGTATTGCTGCCGATAAGCTTAAAATGAAGGTTGTAAAAGCGATCAATAGAAACACTCCTTATTAAGCAAAAGAAATGATATTTTATTTTTATTGGTATTTGTTGCCTTTATTGGGAATTATCTTTGAGCATTGCCTGGCTTAAACTATAAGTTAATGTTTTTGTTGTTTAATGGCTTATCAGATTTTTAATTACAGCACAAAATAGCCTCAGGTTTCGATTGGTACTTTGAGGTAAACCAAATTCTTTTAGTTATTAATTTTATGAAAAAAACTGTAATTATCATGAATACGTCGTTAAATACTGTTGCGAAATGCCCATCTACGGTAAGGTAGCTTCCCCGCAAAGCGGGTTTAGGATTGCCAGAGAGTGGCAAGAAAAGGCAGGGTTGTCAGATTTGGTGTAAAATCGCCAATTTGGCGGCATTTGGTGACAACACTGGCAATATGCCATAGACAGAGCGAGAACATTTTAGAACACATTCTTAGCGGTTTTCCGAGAATATTCTCGAAGGTAGGTTAAAGTTATATATATTCTGCCTCTATGCAGAGTAAAAGTATCTTGATTAGTATAGAGTACGTTGAGTGAGTTTAGTAGTAGTGTCTTGAGTTCAGAGAATAGCTCTTGAGCGATCGGCCGAATCGGGAGCTATACTTTAGTGCTCTGTCGTAAAGCTGTCTTCGCAGTTATAGCCTGAAGGCTGTGTTGCTGATAGCTTCAGCGCGTTTGTCATACTTTTCGATGACTGTTACGCGTCTTTGGAACTGTTCTGTGTAATACTGAAGAATCTTCATCAAGTGTTCTCATCAGTCACTCCAAATTCAAAATTTGTGAAGTTGTAAGTGATCTTCGTAAATATTAGAATATTCTCGAATGTTTATTTGGACACCTTCTAAGATGAACTACACATAAGGGCTTCCTTGAAATAAAAGTGGTGTTTAATATTACTTCTGCCGAAACTGGGTTAGATATATTGCAGCTTTATCTTTCTCTTAAATCAATGACAAAAGCAGATCTATTCGTATAACTTTCACCAGGATAAAAACGTGTTACATTACATTACATTAGTGCAGAATTTGTTAAGCTGATTTCATGAATCACTTTCGATTAGAATTTGAATTATTATGACTTCAGATTTTTTTTAAAAAAAGATATGTTCTAAAATTTGCTTTTTGGGAAATAGATCGTTTACTAAAGATTTCCTACCATTGTTATATGTTAAGTCTCTGAAAATTTTTATAATAATAAATTAGACGTATGTCCTATTATAGGTCGAAGTACTACACTAATATCTAAAATAAAGAACTAAAACTTGTAATCTTTTATTTTTGATATTCTTGTTATATAACCCCAAGAACTGCTTTAAAACTCTTAAGAGTACTTACTTCTCTCCATCCTAGCCATAGGCATAATAAACTTGTGTTTGGTTTCTTGAAGGTCCTACATCAAAAAGCCCGAACTTGCAGATGGATGGCCATAGCGTGCATTATTTAGTTATAGTGAGTGGAAGCACCTATTGCATTTCAACATAACGCCTAACAAAGACCTGTCTGTCAAAAATATGACAATGATTTGATATAATATGGTGTTAATCTTAGTAAGAGTGATGATGGAACACTTAAAATATTGTGGCATGCATATGGTGGAGGAAACTGAGTCGTATTCAGTGATGGACGTATTCGAAAGATGGCAATCCGCAGGTAAGTGATCGACAAAGAACGATCTGGAAGGCCTTTCACCTAGACTACATGTTAACATTGCCAACCCGTGGGCAAACAGTGAGTGATGACTATTATGGAGAGCCCTGAGAACACACCGTATGGTGTGTGTGGTGGAAAGCATGCGGAGAAAAAGACGATTAAAGAACAATTTTCTTAGATTAGTGATTTTTGCTTTAAGACAATGCCTGGAAGCATATTGCTGTTGCAGCACTAGCAGCTCTGCCTGAAATCGATTGAACAATGTTAAACTTGGACTTGGAATACTTGGACTTGGTGTAGACTTGGAATCATAGGATTCCTTAGCATTAACATTGAAAAATAACTGAGTGAGAAAATGTTCTTTTAAGATTTGGAGATGAAAAGTGCCCCCAATAGAAGGGCGATAGAATGCATGTCGCAAAACAGTCTGTTTTATGGTTTTGAATGACTCATATTAAGCGGAAAAGAAATATTGCTATTGAGTATGAAAAGCTATTAATGAAAAAAGAGAAAAGTATGGAGTCCGTAGAGTCGTCTTATTCTGATATAAAAAATACATTAAAACATTCTAATCACTATAGAATGAGGTTTAGAAAATCGCAATCGTATAGTGAGGTTTAGTGACAAAAAAAAAAAAAAAAAAAAAAAAAATTCCGTCGGTCTGACTTTCTTATGCTGAAAATTGTACTTTTGAGAATATGAAAA